CTCAAGAATATTCTTTATAATGATTACAATAAGAAAATAATAATTACTATAATTGCACAAAAAAGTGGTCATTAGCCAAATATTTAGACATTCATATAATATTAGCTTATAAGTTAAATACAATATAAAAAAACTTATTTATTACTCACTGAATATTAATATTAATTGAATTTTAATTTGTTGTATGAATTCAATAGGGATTTCGGAGTATACACTGAACCTAATGATTGTTTTTCTATTAAAATTATATTTGATTTTAATTATAGTGTAAAACACAATTTCTCTCTCTCTCTCTCTCTCTCTCTCTCTCTCTCTCTCGTAATTTTTAAAATATCAATAAAATATATAAATATTTAAATAACTACTCTACATTTATAAAAATTTATACCGGTAATATAAAATAAATTATAATACGAAATTAACTTATTTTCAATGTCTTTTCCGGTAGAATATTCTTATATTCATCTCTCTCTCTCTCTCTCTCTCTTTCTCTTTCGGCATATATTTATTCTGTGAACACAGGAAAAAATGTTTTATTGATTTTTGTCGCCAAAAAGCTAATAATAAATGATATTTTATATCTATTTATACAGCACCGTATCTTATTTACAATATATATTTATTAAATGTAAAAATATATTAAATTCTCATTACGTTGGCTATAAATAAGACAAATATCTCTCTCGTATTAACAACACACAAATTCATTTATCAACAACAAATCTTAGCTTGCGCAATTTGTAGTGATTACTGTTATGGTGTATCATATTGTAAATCTTAAGATACTGTTTATAATAAGTTAATTTCGTATTATAATTTATTTTATATTACCGGTATAAATTTTTATAAATGTAGAGTAGTTATTTAAATATTTAAATATTTTATTGATATTTTAAAAATTACGAGAGAGAGAGAGAGAGAGAGAGAGATGAATATAAGAATATTCTACCGGAAAAGACATTGAAATACAGAAAAATCAATAGAAATACAAAACATTTCACGAGAGATAAGTCACATGAAAAACAAATGTAATGAAATTAAATGTAAAAATATTTTTTACACACATTTTTAAGGCAAATGCATATAATCGAGATGTAAAAACATTACATCAGATAATCATTCAATGGAAATGGAGTTCATATATGCCTTTCCTTTTACTCATTAGTATTAGTCTTGAGGTTAAGTGAAGTGAAAGCCTCTCTTTTGGTGTGAATTTTATTTAATTATTTTGCTGTCGATTTTGTCGTCCGTTTTTTATTAAAGTATTTTTTGCTATTTTCTAACAATAAATGTGTGAAGAATTTGCTATTTGTTTAATACGGACACGGATTGCATTTTAATGTATTATTCCATTGATTTTTATATACTATGTTACAGAATACAGAATATTCTGAGACATCTAGTGCTAGTATATTGTAGAAAATATTTTTGGAAAATATTATTTGTATTTAATTTTTGTCCAATAATTTTGTGTATATTTTTAAATTACAAATTCTATTTAATTAGTCTAGTTTTTACTAAATAATATTTTATCATTTTCTATATTATTGCTTATCAAACTGTAAACATTGATTAAAATAATATGCAACCACGTAGATTAGTAAAACCAAATGCTCGTTGGTATAAAATCGCTTTCATTTTGATTTTGTTTGATCCCGGTTTAAATATAAGGTAAAAATTACTAATAATCTAATGTAATTTTATACAAATTTCATATCTTAAAACTACCATTTTAATTTATAAAACCTATAACTACATTACTATTGTCTACATTATTGCGTTAATTTGAAACCGCTACAATATTTTAAGTTAACATTACTCCAAAAATTAACCAAACTTTAATAATCTAAATTTACATTAACTATAAATAACTTTTAATTAATCATACACTCATACCTTGCTCCATTTGCCACGAATAGGAGGTGCGTTTAAAAATGAGCGATGCCAAAACGTCGTCGTACGCCAAATCGTTTTCGCACGTGGAGAACACCCTCAACAACGGCGGTAGTGGCACTCAACTGCTACCGGCCCCGGCGGGACACCCGGGCCTGAGTCCCGGCCCGCAACACAGGATAATCCAAGCGCCGACCGACGACCCGGACACGCCCAGTACGCCCGCCAACACCCCGTTCGGGTGCAAGAATCCCAATAAACTGTTCGGGGTCAGCCCTAGTGATATCGACAAATACAGCAGGGTGGTGTTCCCGGTGTGTTTTGTGTGCTTCAATCTAATGTACTGGATCATTTACCTGCATATATCCGACGAACTCACCGAGGACCTGGTGCCATTAGGGCACTGAGAATACAATGTGGTGGTACATTTGTTTGATATATATCAGGGTGATTTTTGGACTTTTAATGTGGGACAGGGCGGGATGTATATAATGTATAATATTTATGACCCTGATAGATTTAAAATCTATTTAAAAATGTTTTTGTTTTGTTTTTTAATTAATCGATTTAAAGAATATTCTCTCAGTTATTATAATAGGAATATTCTTTGATATAATAATTGTGTGGTTTAGAGCGTTAACCAGAATATTCTTAACTAATAAATTATAATTGTGTGAGCAAGGTAATCTCTCGACTCAATTAATAAATATACTTGACATATTCCCAGTGTGTTATTTGATACTGCTAAAATATAAACATTTTTTCATGTAAATAGGATTATACATAATATTTTAATTTTGTATAATATAACAATTATTATTTTTATTGACAATTTTGATCAAGATAATTACCTAAAACACAAATTAAATCTAATGAATTTTAGCCGCGATAACGTTTGCACAATTGAGTAGGGTGGGTTTAATTACATGTAAAGTGGTTATTGTTATTAGGGTGGGTGGGCATAAGGGGTGTCGTATAAAAATCCAATTGTATTCCATGTGTTGTGTTATTAATTATTTAATGATTGTGATTATACCCAGATTATTGTTATCTATCTAACAATCTATTTCTTATCTATTTTTAAAATCTCTTTTTTAGACATAATTATAATTATTGTAAATAATAAATTACGTGAAAAAACATCGCATAGAGTTTACATATGAATCTGAATTTCAAATGATTACCTGATATTTAGGCTCAATATTTAGCATTGATATAAAATTACTAAAAATAATTATTCATTAATAATAAGGTTACCTATATTAATTAATGATTACTATAATTAAATACAACAACATCAACAAACAAACAATTTTCGGACAAATGACCTTTTCTAAATAAAATAATTTGTTATTTAATTGGATATAAAAAAGTTATTATAATTGTTAGAGGTTAAATATAGTGTGAAAATTGTACATATACAAATTAAATAACCCAGATAAGTGTACGACATTGTATAGAAAATACTGAATTAAACGCAAAATAATACTTTAAAATATATATAAATAATTGTATAAAACATTTGGTTTTTTCTAACGATATTTCTCTATAATATAATACAATTACAATCTATGCTCAAAATACACGACAAAAATACATTAAAAACACATTAAAAACCGATATAATTATGAATTACATAAACATTACGATCAATACATAAGACATAAAAACGAGTGACAAATAAGTGATAGAAATATTTGTTTTTATTTATTCAATTGTAACCAATATTTTGTTGTTTTAAAAAATATTTGTAATTTACCAGGTATATTTCTAATGACATTTAATTTAGTTGTTAATAATATCATATTATAAGTAATATGAATGCAATTCCGTTAGTAAACTAAACTAGTTATTAATAATTTCAAAAATATATATACATAGTTACAATCAGTTACTAAATAATTATCATGTTAATTATATTATATTTAATTCTCTACCGGATAATAATATGCTCAAACTTATAGCTAAATAAATAAATAAATATTATATCAAATATAGTCTTAAAATATGTTCAGTTCTAACCAAGATAATTTTCAATTTGTTATTTTATCATAGTCAACACAGTACTCATATTTAATTTAGCTTGTTATTAATTAGCTGGATATATTTGGCATTAAATATTATACAACTATTTACTGTCCGTCCTTCAGGTGCTCCGATATCTGAATAACTTTTAATTTACCTAGTACAACTTATAATTATTGTTATTACTACTAGCAATCAATAAATATACAATATATAAATTAGCAAACAATCTAGTTAACTTATTATGTGTATGATATAGTTTATATCTAGTTAATTGATCCGACCAATGAATTTAACAATTTATTATCCGGATAAAATATTTAATTTTTAGTCAAATTGGTTATCATGCTAAATTAAATGTCATTATGAAATATATCAGTCTACTTAAACTACAATAATTTTTTAAAACACAGATTTGTTGATCAAGATCATTTATATATACAATATAATTTTTTGCTGTAATAAATTTATAAATAAAAATAACTGTCCACGGTAATATAAATTATAATTACAATAGTTATAAACAAAAAAAACATCAATAAATAATAGAGTATTAATATAAATAATTAATTATCAGGCACATGTTTGTTATAGTGGCTGGATAAATAAATATATATATAAACACAACAACATTGAGAACAAATGAATAAAAATTGTCTTGTCAATTTTAAAACAATTTTAAATTAAACAAAACTTATTGTATAATATAGTTATAGATACTGTTCATAGAGTTTTTGGATTATAATTAAAATAAAAAAAAGTTTTCATTAAAACATGCCTTAAAATTATTTTTAAAATTATATAACCAAGGTGTTTATTTTCTAATAAAATCTAAAATTAATCTACTAATAACCAATAAATAATAATAATAATTTTTACTTTAACAAGGTAAGCATTAATAAAATTACTTTTATTATAAACAAATTTAATAAACTTATAATTTATAAAAGCATTTTAGTCTACAATTAAATTATATTACCGTAATATAAACCTTGATAACTCGAAATACAATTTAATTTCAATAAACACATAACTAGATAATAATTAATTCATTAATTTATTTAATTAATTAAAAAATCTAACCCTAAACTAAACAATACCTAAAAAATCTCAAAATGTATTAAACGCTAAGAATTTCTCAGAAAAAGTTTTTTAAACACATTCTTCGCGAGTCTGACGATAGCGGGCGACGATTGGCCACTCGTCCCGTCATTATATGGACTCTCTTTGGCCGAGTAGTCCGACGCCTCGTCGTCCGTCCACTCTATATACGAGACAAACACCAAAAAACACAAATTAGTTTTCAATACAAAATAAAAATACAGATTTCTTGGGAAATACTCTTTCGTTTGACGACTCCATCAACGGTTCCGCGAGTATTGTCTTCCAGTTCTGCGAATGACTTCATTAGTGATGTCTGTTTTGGCGACAGTTTTCTGGAGATATCAATGGATTTGTGTTTTTTAGTAAACAATTAATAGTTTTTTAAAAGTAATAATTAAACCATTAATTACTATAACTATTATACAGTATAGCTCTCTCTCTCTCTCTCTCTCTCTTAAAAACGAAATTAAAAATCAAATTAATTAAAACAAAACCAAAAAAACTGATAAATACTTCGGTATTTCAATCTTAATGTGAATGATGTGATCGCCGTAACCGTAACCGTCTATCCTTTTCAGACCCTTTCCCTCTAACTTGATGGTCGAGTGCGAGTCAGTGCCCGCTTTAAGCTCCAGGTGCTCATCGCTATACAGACCTAAACCGACACAAAAACAAAACAAATAATTAAAACATTGAATCAAAAACACATAAACCATTAGACATCCCAATCAACTAACGGCGCTCAACACCCCTACCAATTTATATATAATAACACACATCCCGTTCCCCTTCGCCTACCATACCTTCCACTTTAGCTGTGCCTCCGAGCACCGCTTGAGACAGTGATATGACGGCATCCGTGTGCACATCCCAGCCCTCGCGCCGGAAGTACGTACTGCTCGTCACGTGAAACGTGATGAACAGCTCCTGGCCCTCGACGTCCACTCGCATGGTCTGCATGTCCTCCACGGCCGCCGGCACCGGCACTATAAGACGCCGTTTGCCCAACACCTGTCCCATACCGAAGCAATTCGTGCACTTGTAGTATATGTAGACACCGGAGCCCTTGCACACGCGACACGTAGTCCTGATGGGTATGGCCTGGTCTCGGATCACCTCCAGTCCCACTCCGTCGCAGAACGGACACGTCTGGCCCGCCCGACCCGGCTCTACACTATGGGAGCGCAGGGGAAAGGGATGTTAAATGACATCAAAAATACCATAATATCTCAAAAACCCAAATACCGATTGCCGTTACACTTGGGACAGTCCTCCTGGACGAGTACCTCCACCTGCTTATCGCACCCGCGGGCCGCCTCCTTGAAGCTAACGGCGCAGTGGACCTCCTGAGTGGGCGCGTAGCCGAAGTCGGCCTCCGGGAAGTCGGTCCACGCCTTCGCCTTCTTCCCGAACTCGTCGGCGAAGTCGCCGAAAATGCGGCGAAACATGTCCTCCGCGTCGACGGACGAGTGGAACGACTCCGAGAATGACGAGCGCCGCACACCATCCCAGTCCTCGTTCTGGTGGGCGCCGCCCGGCGACGACTGCTCGGCGTCGAAGCGGGCCTTCCGGTGCTCGTCCGATAGGACGGTGTAGGCCTCGGCCACCTCGCGGAACATCTTCTCGGCGTCCGCGTTGCCTACCGGTGCCCATCAGTGGAGAGAGTGTGTTAGTATGGGTGGTGTATAAGTCCCGGTCCCCCCACACATACACATACCAGTCCAACAAAAGGGTTATACTTTAGGCTACAGTTCCCCCTTACTGTCTACTGTCTTATAGCGTATGTATAAGTGTTTTAATAATTATTTGAATAGTTTTTTGACAGTAGTTTTGGCTAAACTATTAGTGTGTCGGGCCTTAAGCTACCGGCGCTCTACTCCTACTCTAACATACCGGTGCTTTCTCTCTCCAAAAGTTATCAAAACTTTTTTTTAAACTTAACACTAATTCATAGTCTAATTAACAGGTGGGAAACGGGTGTAGTGTTGGGGGACCGGTATGTGTGCGCCACACAAATGGTGTAGTGCCCAGTTGTATACCGTGATTAGTGTCCGGATGGTATCGCTTAGCCAGCTCGTAGTAGGCCTTCTTGATGTCTTTGGGGGAGGCATTACGGGCCACACCTAACACCTCGTAGTAGTCCTTCAGGAACTGCGCGACACGTGATGTATGTATGGGTCGGTTGCCGACCACCAGTGGTTGCCTTGACTTTGAAATGACTGTACATTTGGTGTCAAAAAAAATATTCAATTACCCGGATTACAGTTGTACGGATAGTATCAGGCATAAATGTTGATAACCAATTTGACTAAAAATTAAATATTTTATCCGGATAATAAATTGTTAAATTCATTGGTCGGATCAATTAACTAGATATAAACTATATCATACACATAATAAGTTAACTAGATTGTTTGCTATTTTATATATTGTATATTTATTGATTGCTAGTAGTGATAACAATAATTATAAGTTGTACTAGATAAATTAAAAGTATTCAGATATCGGAGCACCTGAAGGACGGACAGTAAATAGTTGTATAATATTTAATGCCAAATATATCCAGCTAAATTAAATATGAATACTGTGTTAACTTGATAAAATAACAAATTGAAAATTATCTAGGTTAGAACTAAACATATTTTAAGACTATATTTGATATTATAATATTTATCTAGCTATTTAGCTATAAGTTTGAGCATATTATTATCCGGTAGAGAATTAAATATAATATAATTAACATGATAATTATTTAGTAACTGATTGTAACTATGTATATATTTTTGAAATTATTAATAAATAGTTTAGTTTAATAACGGAATTGCATTCATATTAATTATAATATGATATTATTAACAACTAAATTAAATGTCATTAGAAATATACCTGGTAAATTACAAATATTTTTTTAAAACAACAAAATATTGGTTACAATTGAATAAATAAAAACAAATATTTCTATCACTTATTTGTCACTCGTTTGTATGTCTTATGTATTGATCGTAATGTTTATGTAATTCATAATTATATCGGTTTTTAATGTGTTTTTAATGTATTTTTGTCGTGTATTTTGAGCATAGATTGTAATTGTATTATATTATAGAGAAATA